CCATCAACAGGGGGAGAAATAGTAGTAAAAAACACAAAAACACCCATAAACCGCAAAATGCAAAACTGAAAATTTGTATGTACCTCTAATGAATGGATCTAATGAACCTCCAGACAGTACTATTATATCTATATAGATACCCGCAGTTGCCAGTTGCTTTCAAAGTGACATTTTAATATCGTGGCTACGGCTTTAAGATATTTTTATAAAAATTGTTTATTCGATGTTTTCATGTACTGGATGTGGATAAACCGTGTATTCGATGTTTTCATGTACTAGATGTGGATAAACCGTGTATTCGATGTTTTCATGTACTGGATGTGGATAAACCGTGTATTCGATGTTTTCATGCACTGGATGTGGATAAACCGTGTATTCGATGTTCTCATGTATTGGATGTGGATAAACCGTGTATTCGATATTTTCATGCACTGGGTGTGAATAAACCGTGTATTCGATGTTTTCATGTACTGGATGTGAATAAACCGTGTATTTGATGTTTTCATGTACTGGATGTGAATAAACCGTGTATTTGATGTTTTCATGTACTGGATGTGGATAAACCGTGTATTCGATGTTTTCATGCACTGGATGTGGATAAACCGTGTATTCGATGTTTTCATGTACTGGATGGGGATAAACTGTGTATTCGATGTTTTCATGTACTGGATGGGGATAAACTGTGTATTCGATGTTTTCATGTACTGGATGTGGATAAACGAAGCTATAAGAACACTTGGAATACAAACAAATAGATGAAACATGGATTAAGGTGACAACTTATCAACTCAATCTGGAACCAATAGACTGTAGTCGCTTCTCAGGGTCACGAAACTAACACTATCATAACCTAATTGTGTTATCGTATGTATAATTATTGTTATAAGCCCCCAGACTTACAGCTGAGCCAATGGGGGCAAATAAACGGAAACTTTGAGATCGTTTCAAAAGTAACATATTCAAAGTGTTTGTATATTTATCCATTCTAAGTGTATTTCGATGATTTGTAAAACTAGAAGGACAAGTAGTGAATACTTAAAAAAGGTTTAACATTTGTCCTATAAAAAACTGGTGTTTAAAGGTGTTTTTCATATACTCATAAAGTTTGGGGTCGAAATGCATCAGAAGATGTAGATCTTTAAACTACTATAAGCGAAAGACTATAAAAACAATAACAACACATTCAAAATCTGTCCAAATCACTTATAATTTTTACCACAAGGAAAGTTTCTAATAAATATTTTCACACCTGGACACGGAGAAAAGTTTCGTTTCATATAGCCCAAGGTTACCCAGGACCGGTTATGTAAGGTTTCCCGTGTCCCTCTAACAGAGAGTAAGAAGTTCATTTCAATAGCATAATATTAACTGTTTTTGTGGTGGAATTATTTCTCCATTTACTTACCTACATTACTATGCTAATATTAGACTCCTTCTAGTTAAAGTAACAACATACTGAATAATAAAAAAAACAAAACAGAAAAGCATATAGATTCGTCTGTATCGTATTTACTACAAGATAAAAATAAGATGAGGGACAACTGATCTTAGCAGTAGCCGTAGTTATATAATATCTGAGTATGAGGGAAAAGTGATCTCAGCATTAGCTATATGTATATAATATCCGAAGATGAGGGACAACTGATCTCACCAGTAGCTATATTTATATAATATCTGAAGATGAGGGACAAGTGATCTCAGCAGTAGCTATATGTATATAATATCTGAAGATGAGGGACAAGTGATCTCAGCAGTAGCTATATTTATATAATATCTGAAGATGAGGGACAACTGATCTCAACAATAGCTTTATTTATATAATATCTGAAGATGAAGGAAAACTGATATCAGCAGTAGCTAAATGTATATAATATCTGAAGATGAGGGACAAGTGATCTCAGCAGTAGCTATATTTATATAATATGTGAATATGAGGGACAACTGATCTCAGCAGTAGCTATATTTATATAATATCTGAATATGAGGGACAACTGATCTCAGCAGTAGCTTTATTTATATAATATCCGAAGATGAGGGACAACTGATCTTAGCAGCAGCCATAGTTATATAATATCTGAGTATGAGGGACAAGTGATCTCAGCATTAGCTATATTTATATAATATCTGAAGATGAGGGAAAACTGATATCAGCAATAGCTATATTTATATAATGCATCTCCATGCTATTCCTGATAAGGTGTTATAATATTAGGAAATCGTTTTGTATGGTTTCTGAAACTACCCCAACGGAACTTTATCTCAATACACAAACTTCTGATCTTATCATTCTTATCTCAATACACAACCTTTTGATCTTATCATTTTTATCTCAATACACAACCTTCTGATCTTATCATTATCTCAATACACAAACTTCTGATCTTATCATTATTATCTCAATACACAACCTTCTGATCTTATCATTCTTATCTCAATACACAATCTTCTGATCTTACCATTCTTATCTCAATACACACAACCTTCTAAGCTTATCATTCTTATCCCAATACACAACCTTCTGATCTTATCATTCTTATCTCAATACACAACCTTCTGATCTTATCATTATTATCTCAATACACAACCTTCTGATCTT